ATCCCGTTAGTGCGAGATTCTACCGCGTGTGTAAACTCTGTGGCCCACGGCAACGACCACCAGGACACCACCTCCTCGACGACGACGCTCATCTATCTCTCTCTCTCTCTCTCTCTCTCTCTCTCTCTCTCTCTCTCTCTCTCTCTTTACCTCTACCTACATTCCTGTCTCTTTCTATTTCTCTCCTTTCATCTCTTAACCCCTCCTCCGGTTGCGCGCCTTTATACTGGCGTTCCTCCGATTTTCCGTCTGCGGTTGCGCGCCTTCAACGGCGTTCCTCCGGTCTTCCATCTCTGGTTGCGCGCCGCCCTCGGCGTTCCTCCGGTTTTTCACCTCTGGTCGCGCGCCGCCCTCGGCGTTCCTCCGGTTTTCCACCTCTGGTTGCGCGCCGCCCTCGGCGTTCCTCCGGTTTTTCACCTCTGGTTGCGCGCCGCCCTCGGCGTTCCTCCGGTTTTCCACCTCTGGTTGCGCGCCGCCCTCGGCGTTCCTCCGGTTTTCCACCTCTGGTTGCGCGCCGCCCTCGGCGTTCCTCCGGTTCTCCACCTCTGGTTGCGCGCCGCCAACGGCGTTCCTCCGGCGGGAAATCATCACCCTACCTCGAACTGGCATTGAGCCGCCAGTCCTCACAGACATCCTCCACGTCGTCGACACCACTCATCTGGTCTGAACCCCGCAAAAGAAAGGGGGACCTTCTCCGTCGTAACCAACCTCAGTTCCCAGTCGTCCAGGGGCAATTTCACAGAGTCCCCTCGAACAGACGGAATCTCACACTGAGATGGGCACACAGCGAAATTTACCGATCTTACGTGCTAATTATTATGAACTTTAGTTATTTCGTTTGGTGCAATGAAGTAGTTACGTAATTACTTTTGATTTGCCACTTACGCGTTCCATTTGCAGATTAACGTTAACCGCAGTCAAAGTACTCACTCTCGGGTCTCCCTACTACAATAAAATGAATCAGAAGTTGCCAAGAGTGCAATGATGACGGCAATGAATCGATTATCATAATCGAGAAATCCATCTGAGCATTCTATTAAACGACAACATATGAAGTCTCTTTTTCACTTCAACCCTCCCGTGATTCTGAACTCCATCGTTCTCTGAGTGCCTATTTAAGGGATTAATATTAATTAATAATAAGTTAGCATTAATCACCCTCACCACTAACAGCATGTATTGCTTCCCCCGCTTTTTAACCCCGCTAATTCAAGATGCTTCCCGCAGGCACGCCCAGACATGGGCAGGTCGCGACGAGCTGGACGCAAGGTCCAGCTCAGGCGATTAGCACGAGCGTACGCTACCCCTGGGGTCTTTGACCCCAGGATTTTCGACAGGCCAACAGGGCCTTGTAAACCCGCGCTCCCTCTTCATCCCCCTTCTCCAACAAACCGTCCGCTCGCCCCCAGCCACCCACATCTCCCACTACCGTACAGGCCTCCGGACCCGTGCCCGGCCAGAACGTGGGCTCCGCGCCCTCCCATTACTCCAGCGCCTAGGCCTCCAACGGCCAGCCTGGGCAGAGCGCCTCCTGCGCCTCAAGAGGACGCGACGAAGAGGCCCACACCGGAACCGAAGGCCCCCCAGCGAAGCCTGGCCCCGCGCACGACGCGACCCTGCATCGTGCGGATAGAGGCTCTCCCCCAGAAGATCAGGATCGCCCGACGGCCCAGGACCCAGCTCCGAGCCGCCAACGACATGCCCTCGCTGGGCTAAAGAGGCCCCTGTTCTTTCTCCCTCTTTCTCGCCCTCCCCTCCTTATGTACATACACAATCTCTCTCTTGTAATATATAGTTTAGTTCCTCCAAAGATGTTCTGCTCATTCATTTAACCACCCACCCTGTTCTCTCATTTTCCCTAGTCTCCCTATGAGACACGCGTCCCCGTAAAAATCGGACGTAACACGCTTAAAAATGCGTACACGCCGGACAGGCGAAGACAGATAACGGATAGATTCCGTTATTACAACCACGAGGTAAATGTTGAAATTGTTATGGATAACGATATCCGCTGACTCGATCGACGAGTTGTTTAATCGTTGCGTGCCTTTGCAGGAATTGGGCGAAATGCGACGTAGCTGTGCATATAGCTACAGCGTCTACTGTAAGACCATGCTGAACCTCAATTTTTGTCCAGTGGATCCGACAGTAAGAAGAAGACAGTGAATTACGTGTTGTAATTCTATACGTACTATACAGTGAGACACATGTATGACAATAAAAATGAAAATATACCTCATACGTGTCCGTTATTCGGCAGCTCTCTCTCTCTCTCCCTCCCTCCTTGGTCCATACTCCTGTACTCTCCTGATTGGTAGTCTGAAATATTGGAAACGTTATTAGCAAGTAAATATTGATCCGTCGATCGCATTATCGAATCAAATTAACGATACCATGTTTGTCCTTACCTATGACGTTAAATACAAATTCTTATAAACATAAGGCTTGTTTTCTATTGCTGCACTGGTCAACTAGTGCAGTAAGCTAGAATGAGAAAAAATATACTTGTCCTACTCTAACTTATTGCACTAGTTGACCAGTGTAGCAACAGAAAACAAGCCTATAGTATCGTAGCAACATTGTATATATAGGATAGAAAAGCTCGTGTACTTGGATAAATGAGATATGAAACGAAAGAAATGTATAGCTTTTTACTGACAAAGAAATATAGATGGAGAGATATTCAAGATTATCGTTAAATATAAGAGTAGACTGTTGAGGAGCCTTGACGAGCGAGCAACCGAATGAAATGCCAAGTATGCTTTTCTGTACAGCAGAGAATACAGTGTATGATTAGAATATAAATGTTTAAATACTACATAGAGAATACAGTGATTTATAGAAGAAATGTTTAATACTTGATACATGTTTCTGTAAAGCAGATAATACAGTTGTAACGATGCACCCCGAAGCCGCATCGTTCCCCGGCTAAGACCGCCAGATGTCGCCGATCAAACGATCCGGCGAAGGGCGGGCGCAAGAACGCCCGCCGCCTAATCGCCCAGCACCGGCCGTTCGACGAGCCGCGAACGCTCGCCGAGACGACCCGCGCCGAAACCCCGCGGAATCGGCCGAAGCCGTCTACACGACGTGCTCCGTACCGCGCCGAGAGGTGCAAGCGCGCTACCCCGCCACGCGCCGCCCCGCCACACGCCGCCGATTCCAGCGCCGCCAAAATCGGCCGGGCGAATATAAAAAGGGAAGCGAACGCCGAGAAGGCAGATTCCGCCGCCGACCAGCTTATCGCTCTAGGTATCCTAGCACCGAATCCTTTCCGCTGTTCCTACGACTGAGACGTGGGGTGGAGCGTACTCCGCCTCCATCGGGGCCTCCCGATCAGAGTCAGTCCGGAACAGTTTCCAATAACCGACCGCCCGGATACAAAGGGGGTGAGGTGTTCCTCGCCTCCAGCAGGACTTACTGCTGTCCGGACGGCCGGTCTCCGTCTTTCTTCGAGTGAGGGACAAGGGGGTAGAGTGTGCTCTGCCTCCGCCAGGCTCTTGCCGGCACCCCGCTCGCTCTCCCGCGGTCGAAACGTGCAAAGACCAGCCCGGAATCTCCGCGCCGAACCGAACCCAGCCGCGTCCGCCGCGCTTGCCTGCCGGCCCGCGCCGGCGCACCGCGCCGGCGACACCGACCGCGATCCGCGCACCGTCGCGCCCGTCCCGTAGCGACACACCGCGCCGATTCGCGCGCACTGAAACCGCGCTTGTAAATATTTCCGTAAAAGACTGGTAAAAATACCGCTGTAAATAACTGTAAATACTGATGTAACGGCACCGGCGAGTATCGTCCGTCCGCACGGCCAGACTAACCGACGATCTCGTACCGCCACGGCAATCTGTACATCCGTTGAATAAACTCATCGTGCCAGAAATTCTAAGTGTCTCGATCCGTTCGCGAACCTGGCCCCGACGAGCTAGTCCGTGCTCGCGATAAACAACCGAACAACGGATCGTTTTACAGTGTATGCTTTGAATACAATATGTTACACACTCGATGGATTTTGCTGTCGAATAGACAATACGGTGTACAGTTTGAGTACAGAATACGTATTTGTTGCGTAAAAACTTGATTGCGAGTGCGTACAATAGCATTAGCATTCCATCTTTTCTCGTAGGCGTTGCCATGTGACCGCCTCTTTAGTCAGCCGCCTCTTTAGTCACCGCGCACGCGCGCGCCTGTACCGTATGTATGGCCAGCGAACGAGACAAGATGTCACGAGTACAAGAGCACGAGTATAAGACTAAATACTCGTATATGTTTCCTACAGCGAGTAATACGATAATTCAAGTAGCGTGGCGTATAATACGATACTACAGATATAGTATTATTCAACGAGTTAAAAATTACATGCTACGATTGTTAACATAGGTCCTTAAAGATATAAAATCAATATTAAACATTTCGAGTAGCGAGTAGACTAAATTTGTACAATTCAAAGGAGCGGTAAAACATATATCTGTAGCATACATGTAATTGACGTTAACACGAGTTTTCAAAAACGATCGAG